ATTAAAATATGAGTATTGCTGCATATGCGTATGAAGCTGACAGAGCTAAACGTTTATATTTTGGTCAATACTCTCTCACACTTACTGACAAATATATTGTTATTTCTGATGGAAATACCGAGAAATACATAACATGGAAGGACTATGAAAAGTTTGACCCTATTTTAACTCCATGCACTATGCCATTCATTGTAAATGGTGAAGTTGTCATGAAGAACGACACAACTGTTTATAGGTCTGTATATGAAGCGTTAGAATATATGTTGAATTATAATCCCGAAAGATTTGACCCAAGCACTACACATGTACAATGCCTTTTATTAAGGATGGTGAAATCGTAAGAGTTCCGAATTCAACGGTTTATACTGCTTCAAAACAGTTTACAAAACATTTTAGCGAATATCTTTAATTCAGAAACTACAGAAATAAATTACCATATATAACAGATGCTAAAGAAATTAAATCAAAAACGACAACATTATTTACGTCACTTAATGATTTAATGACTTATATCATTAATATTCCTGCACCAACTACAGCATTTGATCCAAACTCGACGGTTTGCAGTGTACCTTTCATAAAGTCGCAAACGGACTCTTTGAGTCCTGAAGGTCTTTCAGACCGAAGCGACCAGGGCGAAGCCCATGACAGTTCATTAATGTACTTTAAGGGATTCAACAGTTAATGAATCATTAAAGGCGTCATTAATGAAAATCATTGATTTTAACTCATTCACGAATACATATAATTCATTCATTAATGTTTCATATGCTTCTAAAGAAGGTGAGCCAAAAACTATCGATAAAGCGGTGTATGAAATAAAAGCATCAACGACGAAATTGAATTCGTTAACTTTTGACGGTGATAGTTTCGTTAATGACATAACATCGGGGAAAACAATTTTAACGAAAGAATATTTAAAATCTCATGTTAGTGAGTTCGTTGAAATTGAAAAAGAAGGTGGAATTAAGTTCGATCCACTGAATTTCATTTTCAGCTTAGCGAATGCGGGTGTTAGTTTCGCTGAATGGACAACTATACAGAGTGAAATAAATGCAATATGGACGTTTTTGGGGTCAAAAGCGGGAATGGGTGAGCTTGTAAATGCTGCAAGAACATTAGGTGAAACAGGAAATTTTGTAGATGGTTTTAAAAGACTTGTTTCAAATGTTTTAACAAACACAAAGAAATTATTTAGATATACCATACATAACGGACGGATTTTCGAACAGGTAGCAACAAACCCTCCGGTTATGGCTGCGTTGATGATGGTTAGAGATATAAAACCACGTAACGACGGGAACGAAGAACATGAACAACAGAGCCCAACGGGCTCAGAGCCACATAGTGGCGAGGATACTGGTCGGGTTATTCAAGACATTAAAAACGTGTATCCTGAAGTTATTGATTTATTTAGAGGAGTTAATGATTCAATTTCAAAACATTCTATAACCCTCGATGAAGAGAATAAATTAACAGATTATATATTCGTCATTATTGCAGAATTAATGAAGAGAATAAATGAAAAAGGAATTGGTGATATCATTAATGTCAGCGATGTAATGATGAAAAGAAATTTTGACTCATTATTTACAAAACCGAAAACAGAATATAGTCTTTATGACGTAATTACCGAATTAATGAAAAAGATTAATGATAATAAGAGTTCTGGCGGAAGAGTTGAATTAGAAGTGAATGATGTTAATGAGAAATTAGCCGAAAAAGCAGATAAAAACCATGTTCATTATATAAGTTCAGACGAACAGATTATAACGGACTACCATGGATATTTAACACAGAATGAACAAATAAGCACTGAAGATGTTAATGAAAGAAGATATAAATACATTCGTGCTAAAGGTTATGACATAAGCTGTACTGTACAGTATGACACAGGTAAAGCACCAGAAGCATTTAGTTATAACGATGAAATTTATGCCTCTACTTTCTCTGTTAATGGTGTATTAGTTGAACCAAGATTTATGTTAAGAGTTAAGTCAAAAATAACGTTTGAAGATGCTATTAAAAGTAAAGCTGACAAAGTTGAACTCGAAGCAACGAACAAAGTTTTGAAATCTCATAAACACAACATCTCCGATATAAATGAACTTCAAACTTCTTTAGACAGTAAAGCCGACAAGAACCATACACATAAATCCTTCACTACTGTTAGAGCAGACGACATAATATTGAACTATACCCTTGGTTCAAGTGCACCTTTAGAGAATCCAAGTACAAGCGTAAAAGATACACTAAACTCCTTAAATAGTAAATGTATGAACATTGAAGGTCATGTCAGAAACTTTGAAACACATGAACTACCAGCAATGTTAGATAAGAAAGCAGATAAGAACCATACACATGATTTCTTCACAACTGTTGGTATAGAAAGTATTGAAGGAACGGTTGAAGGAACTGGTGGGGAGGGCGGAGCCCCGCCGCACGCGGCTGCATTATATTGGAAACCTCCTAACTTTCCACAAGGTTTAACATCGGAGGAAAACATAACGACGATGAAATACATTAGATGTAGAAATGTTTATGTCATGGAGGATGAAAATAATGTTAAATTCACTGCTCAAGATTTATATGATAAGAAAGCTGACAAAACAGAGCTTCAAACATTAAAGACAGAAATACTTCAAACATTATATCCTATAGGTTCTATTTATACGTCAATGAACTCAACAAATCCAGCAACAGTTCTGGGTTTTGGTACATGGCAGCAGATTGTAGACAAATTCTTATACTGTGCTAACTCTTCAAAGCAAACAGGAGGTTCGAAGAAAATTACTGAAGCAAACCTTCCACCGCACACTCATACAGGAACTACAAACACAACAGGTAGTCATTCACATTCAATAACAAAAAGAGGTTATACAAATCTTGCAGCAGGTTCGGATAGACAGGGAATGCATAGATATGATATTTCAAGTGACCCAGTAGATTCAAGCGCAGGTATTTTCTGTGGAACCGCAGGAAATCATTCACACACTTTCACAACAAATCCAACAGGCTCGGGTAAAGATTACATGCCACCATTTGTGACTGTATTTGCATGGTATAGAGTTCAATGAACGCGCTTGAGCCTAGAATAAAATCTTTATTTTTACATAAATGAGCTTGAAAGAAGTATTCGAACAACATCCATGGAGGTCATTTAAGAAGTTCAATGAAGCTGCAAAGAGTTGGGGATTTACTAACAGAGCTGAAGTGAAAAGGTTCTTTGACAAAAATGTTGTACATCAAACAAAAATAAATCCTTACGACTACTTTTTACCAATTTACTCCAACACTCCTGACGCATACCAATTTGACACTCTCATTCAAAGCAGAAAAGGAGGACATAAACCATTCCTCATCTTCATAAATGTTAACACTCGTAAAGCATATGCGTATATAATGAAAAATAAAGGAACTCGTGAAGTGTTAAGAGTTTTACAAAAGTTTGTAGCAGAACATAGCCCAAGTATTTTAACATCAGACCAAGACGGTGCATACCTCAGCAACGAAATCACAGAATTTCTCATTAAGCATAACATAACTCACTACACTACTGAAGACCATAACCATAACATACTCGGTATCATTAACCGCTTCATAAGGACTCTCAGAGATTTAAATCAAGAGCGAGACTTTACCGAAGAAACAATGAAACATTTTCTCGAAGTATATAATTCCTCAACACATTCTACAACAGGACATACACCAAATTCAATGACACAACAACAAGAAGAAAAGTATATACAAAAGAAACTAAGTCAAACACAAAATATCAGAAATTCAACACAATTTACCCTCATTCCTGGTACAAAAGTTCGTGTAGTTCTTGACGACAAACCATTGACAAAGAAACGTTTAAGGTTAAGTCGAAATTATTATATCGTAGACTCTACGCAAGGTAATGGATATCTTATAAAAGCTGCTGACGACTCCATAGCATTTTACCCTCGACATAAATTAGTCGAAAGTAGTAATGGCAAACTTGCTGAAACCATTGACGAAGCAAAGCGAGGAGTGGTTATTGAAATACTTGACTATAACACAAACGATGACACTTATAAAGTAAGATATGAAGGAGGCGTTGAAGATGTTATACCATCTAAGAACTTGAGAGAATCTAAACCAACTCATCTGGGACCATTAGAGCGGGAGTACTGGAAAGATAAAAACATGCCAGAAAGAATAAGAAAATTCTTCTAAACTTTTTCGTTGGATGTAAATCAGACATGAATGAGAACAGTCATGATATCATTAATGGTACCATTTATTTTTGTCATAAATTTACACCAAAAATAAGCCGCTAGCGGCAAGGGCGAAGCCCATAATTGAGGTGAAGAGACCCAAAGGGTCAGAGCCGCAAAGCGGCTAGGTGAGATTTCACCTGTTTTCTCACCTCTTTTTTCACCTCTTGAACTTTTTATAACATTCGGTCATAACTTCATCAATTTCATTTAAATCACGATTTAAAAACTCATTGACTTCATCTTCAACCGTGTCATCTTGTAATAAGAATATTTTCTTTAGTTTCATGTCAACATCCCGAACAGCACAAAGGATAAAATCATATTCATTTCTTCCGTTAAACATACTTTTTCTTTCTCGTTCATCGTTAAATAAATTATTGAAAATATAAACAGCGGTGTAAAAGTTATGTACTGTGTTAAATGTTGAAGCTTCACCTATTTTAGATTTTAGGATTCTTTTAGTAAGTAAATTGTTATCGTTCTTTCTCTTTTCCTTATCGTTCATGTCGAACCACATATCCTGTATTTCATCGAATTTACGAACTATAGAATCCGTCATTTCCCTGGTTAATGAGGGGTAATCATTATTAATTTTTTCATATAATTTGTCCATATGATTTTCATCGACGTTTCCGGAAAGCATTTAATTAAAGCAAAAATATATTATAGGTGAAGAGACCCAAAGGGTCAGAGCCGCAAAGCGGCTAGGTGAGATGTCACCTCTTTTTTCACCTGTTTTCTCACCCCAGTTTTTCACAAGCGTTTTACATGAATTGTACGATGTATATTTGAAATCCTAAACAATTTCGTAGCTTCTATTTCTTCTGTCAGTATGTCAAAAGTTTTAACAATGCCGAAAGTTTCTTTATACTTCTTCTTGACGTCAGATAGAAGGAAATCTTCTGCAGTTGGATAGTTTTTGTTCAGAAATGCTAACATGTTCATTTTATTTTCTGCTGGCTTTTCTGCTTCTTTCTTTAAATCTGCATAGTCGTTTCGCATTCTTTCTATCTCTTTGACGGAGTAGTTATATTTCCTAATTGCTGCTTTACATTTAGAACATTGCGGGTTCATTTTTGCGTTATCCATTGAAACCTTACCTGCTAAAACAACTAAAGCGTCAATGGTTTTCTTTAACTCAAAAGCAGTTGGTCTTATCTGTTCGTTCCATATTTTACCTCTTCTATCTTTATCTCTTATCTGCCATACACATTCAGCAACTAACGAAACAAAGTTATCGTAGGTCTTAAACTCCCCGGATTTATATATGTCAGAAACATTCTTATATACCATGTCGCAATCTTTGTCCATAACCTTATGGTTGCAATGAAATCCTAGAACTCATAGTTTACCTTTCGAATGAACTTCTTTATTTCTACTGAGTCAGTAACTTTCACTTCTATTTCATCGAATTCAGGAATAGTTAGTTTTTGATGCTGAATTTCAGGTATTTAGGTAAATGGTCAATAATGTCCTGCATTTCATAAAGATACTGTTCATTTGTTTCATCTTTCGCACTACAGTCTAAATTACTTGTTAAAAGTTCTTGCTTTATCTTCTGGATTTTTGTTTCGAAAGTATATGAAGAAGGAATGAAGCTTTTCATCTCTACTAACATAGATGTTGGATTCATGACTAACGAGTTTGGTGAAGTTGTTGTGGACAGAGTCCCGCCGTTCGCGGCTTGAATTGTTGTTGTGCCGATTGTTGAAATCATATCTTTACATACAAAATAAAAAAATAAATAAAAATAAAACTAACGTTATTTTTCTATCTTAAGGAAATTCATGAAAATTCAAGACCCTTTGGGTCTCGCCGCTTAGCGGCTGAGGGTGAGAAATTAGGTGAAAAAAGAGGTGACATCTCACCTAGCCGCTTTGCGGCTCTGACCCTTTGGGTCTCTTCACCTATAATATATTTTTGGTCATTTACACTCATTTACGAAGAAGTTATGACAAAGCATTTACGAAGAAGTTATGACAAAGTCACGAGGGTGAAAAAAGAGGTGAGAAAACAGGTGACATCTCACCTCTTCACCTAAATTATATTTTAGGTCAAAGCTTCCACGAGAGAAAAGATTCCACGAGAGAAAAGATTCCTCATTCGCTAAGGATTCCAAAAATGAAAAAATCATTGATTTCGGCTGAGAAAAAACAGCAAAACCCTTCTTCCACGGGAACAAAGAAATAAAGAAGAAATAAAGTAAATTTTTTTATTTATTCCCGTGGAAGATAGAGCACTTTTATGATACTTTTTATTCACGACAAACAAGACAAATAAAGAAAATAAGAAAATACGGCGCTGTCGCGGTTCGAACCACAGACCTTGACCCCTCCATAACACCACCTTAGACCACTGTGCTACGTAGCCTGTCGACATAAGATTTTATAAATTGCATATTTGACGTAAATTTATTTCCATCTGGCTTCCCACCGCATAAGATATTCATACGTGTTTGTAAGACATTCATTAAACTTCTTTTCTATCATTGCTAATCTTGCGTTATTTTTTTCAATAACTTGTCTGTATTCTTCATCATCTCCAGCAGTGTTTGGGTCTTCACGTTTAAAATATTCATTGTTAACCAATTTTTTATCTACAAATTTTATTAGTGTTTGATTCACTTCGTTATGATAACGGTCATATTCTTTCAATACGTAAGTGAAGACAAAATGCGTCGTACCTTCAATCTTAAAGCTTAAAGAACTTTCAACACAGTTTTGAGGGTCTGTCAGTGCGTCAATGAGATAGTATTCGAAGTCAGTCAATAATCTTTTTAAAGTCATTTCATACAGGATAAAATTTAATGTTGTGAAGAAATAGTGTTTATCTCAGAAAAATAAAGTTAGTTTTTATTTTATTTATTTTTTTATCCTGTATGTAAGACAGTAATGTCAACATTAGAGAACACAACAACTGCTATCGTTCATGAAGCCATAAATGAAGAATACGAATACATACAATATAACAAACAATTGAGACTCATTCGTTCAGTCAAGATGATATGTATCAAATGCAAAGTATAATGAACGCTCTTCGTTCTACAAAGCAAGCATATCATTGGTTTGAAAACCAACAGGCAAAAGAACTTTTAGAAGAATTTCCTCATATGATTGCTTCCCTCGGAAAACCGAGGGAAGAGATTCCGTACGAAAATCGCAAGAATTTGGCACCTGGTTTGAAAGGTTATTATGTTCATAGACTTTTAGTAAATGCTGTAGCAATGTGGGCTTCACCTCGTTATGCATGGCATGTTTACAGACTTCTTGACAACAGTTCAGGAGGAAGGTAGTTATGAATTATTTTTGCACAACCGAAGGTGCTACCATGCTACCATGTGCTACCAGGTCATTTAACTTCTCTGAAAATTACTGACAACACGACATTTTGACAACACAGCAGGATTAATGCAAAAATAAATTCCAATCATACTTTATAAAGCTAGACCTTCAGGTCTCGCCGCTTCGGTCTGAAAGACCTTCAGGACTCAAAGAGTCCGTTAGCGGCTCATTTACAGGTATTTCATCGTCAGTAAATGAATCCTCATTATCGTTTGGTTCAACCTGTTTATATAATCCTTTCATTTCTTCTTTCAAAACATAACACCATGTTTGTTTACCGTCTATTCTTCTATGTTTCCTATCACATTTATCCTTAATACTCATTTGGAAATTCTTGTCTTTCATGTCTGATGGTTTGCAGAATAGAGCATTTTTACACGTCATACCTGCACACAATTCATCATAATGTGTATTTATCCATACATCTAAAGGATTTGTTGATAATTCAATTAAATCTTGTTTGGCTTCAGTCATCGGTATGATTCGTACATTAAATGATGAAAGGTCATATTGCATAAAATACGTCAGTAAATTATCATAAAATTCCTTTGTGCATGAATCCATTAAATTCTTGAAGTAATCAAATTGACCCTTGAATTTACCATTAACTCTTAAAACTACGTATCTTCTGTCTCCAACTTCAATTTTGACAGGGTAGACGTTGTTAGTTACGAAAATGAAGTTTGCAACGTTCTGAGCTGTTCTTCTGGGTTGATTCTTTTCATTAATTCTTATCTCATTATCCGTAATAATTGATTTCAAAGCGTTGAAGTTTGCGAGTCTATCTTCACCCACATTCTTGAGTTCATTAAGTATAAGAAGCATTTTATTTTCAACAACTGAGTTGAAATTACCCGTTAGCTCACTTATTTCAGTAATGTTTTTACATGAATAACCAGCGAGGAGTTCAGAAATAATGTCTGTAAATCTGTTTTTACCTGTTCCCTGAAGTCCTTTCAAAATAATTGCTGTTTCATTCTTGATTCCGGGATGTTGAATCATTGATGCAATCCAGCCGAGAAGGTATTTATACACTTCATCGTTATTATCACAAATGGCTTCTTTAATGAAATTCATAAACATCTCAATTTTTGAGTAATCTGGTTTTTCGAAAATGTTGTATTTATAACCCTGAAACGTTGAGAAAACATCTGGGGAATCAGATTTAAAGCAAACACCCTTAACGGTTAATGAAGACAATTGATTTAGTAGTACATCCCATGCTGTTATGGTTTTACCTTCTTCTTTAAATAATTTAATCATTTTGAGTGACTCTTTCATGTTTGACTGAAGAACAAATGATATTTGATTCATTTTGTCGTGGATATTATAGTCCTTTTGAATGAAATATTTGTTTCCACAATCTACAAAACGAATTACACGTGATAAATCCTCAATTACTTCAGAACTGTTTTTATACTGATGATTTTCAGCCTTGCGTCTAATATCTGTTATCAAAAACGAGTCATCAAGTTTGATATCAAATGTTATTTTTGGCTTACGTAATAAAGGTAAAACATATTCATCATAATATTCCTTTTGATATAGTTTTAGAATCTTCACCAAAACAAATGGAGAAGTCATTAAATGTGCATATCTACCACGTGCTTTTTCAAAATTACTTTTTGCATTTTCTGTTAAGCTGCAGAAGTTATAAACGTTATCGTATGCTTCATTAATTAAATGATCCGGTAACGAATTAATTGCTTGAAACAGTGTGAATAATGTTATTTCTTTTTCTAAATTCATGTTTCCACCGTCATTATGTACTTCAAAATCACAGATGCCATCAACTATGCTTTGAGCTAGTTTATCGTCAATGTTTACATCTTTGTTTTCATTCATGATATTCTTTATTTCTTCGTTCTTCTGTTCAACTCTTACCTTAATATTCAAATCATTTAATATATCGTTTACTGTTCTGGTTAATGTTGAATCATAACTTCCACGAATGAATGAGTATGTATTGATTGGTTCTGTTGCATTCTTGCGAACTCTTGAATCAGCCATAACCACTAATGAACGCTTTGAATCATCCATAGAAGTCATTATGTCAATATCATAATCATTGCAAGAATAGCATTTAATCATTCTGTTCGAAACTGAATAGAAGAAATTAGTGTTGCAATAAATGTGAAGACCTCCTGAAGCGGTTTTAACGATAACATCTTTATCCGAAAGTTTTGATAAAATGTCTTTTCTAACTGTTTCTTTAAGTTCATCATCGTATGATTTATTGATATCAACATCTATAATCGTTAAATTTGATATTTTATTTACTAATAAAGCCATACCAGTTTTCCTTCCTCTTCCTCCATCATGTTTGAGGTAGTTATGTAAATCAATCTTGTTTTCACCAATTCTTTCGTTGAGGGTTTTAGTTTCTGCCACAACTAATTCCTCAGCTAATGAATCAATAACTTTTTCATCAGAAACGATATAGTTGCTGTTGTTGTTTGTTGCTGTCATTTATATAGGAATAAAAAAATAAAAATAATTCATAACTAACTTTATTTTTCTGTCTTAAGGAAATTCATGAAAATTCATGGTTCAAAACTGAATATCATATAACCTCTTGAAAACGTTTAAACGAACTTGAACTTTCTTTCCTTCAGTATCCGTCAAAGTAACATATGCAATTCCTGATTTTAGGAAACAAACATGCATTTTTCTATAGTTAACTCCTGTATAGTAATAGAATGCGTCCTCATTCTCAACATAGTAGTAGAACTCTAAGTCATGCTTTCCATAAGAGTTTATTTCAATTGCTTCGTCAGATATTTCATCAACGAACTCATAAACTATATCACCATACTTGCTTTTATTTCTATTGTTTTCAGATCTAGAACACCAACGAAGGTTTGAGATTCTGTTGTCGTCTCTTTGATGGTTTATATGGTCCACACACGGTAAATTGTTCGGATTGGAAATAAAATGAGTAGCTATGAGAACATGTTTTTGGTACTTTTTGAGGTTTAATGTTACACAAATATAACCTGTTCCTCTGTTATATTCATGTATAATTCTCTTGGTTTCTTTCTTCCTTATTTCAAAAGGCTCAGAACAGTGAATTTCATACTCTTCATCTTGTAAACATTCTTTCCATACATTTTGACCAACAAGTTCAGTGTACATCTGTCTTTACATACAAAATAAAATATATTTTTTTAAAAAACTAAAATATATTTTTATTTCGGGAAAATTCATGACAAAAACATTTACGAAGAAGAAGTCATGACAAAACATTTACGATGAAGAAGTTTATTTCCTGTGTTGTTGTCAAAATGTCGTGTTGTCATGAATTTTCAGAGAAGTTAAATGACCTGGTAGCACATGGTAGCATGGTAGCACCTCCAGTTCTTCAAAAATAATTCATAACTACCTTCCTCCTGAACTGTTGTCAAAATGTCGTGTTGTCATGAATTTTCAGAGAAGTTAAATGACCTGGTAGCACATGGTAGCATGGTAGCACCTCCAGTTCTTCAAAAATAATTAATTATTGAATAACCTAAAAACCATGAGACTTTGTCTCCGGACTCTTTGAGTTGAAGTTCTGAGGTCATGGGCTTCGCCCTTGCCGCTAGCGGCTTATTTTTGTCAGCAATGAGGTCATGAATGAGGTCATGGGCTTCGCCCTTGCCGCTAGCGGCTTATTTTTGTCAGCAATGAGGTCATGAATGAGGTCATGAATGAGGTCATGAATGAGGTCATGAATGAGGTCATGGGCTTCGCCCTTGCCGCTAGCGGCTTATTTTTGTCAGCAATGAGGTCATTCGTGATAAAAATAAAGCTAGCGTAGATTTTACAATACTGCGATGGTAGAGTTTAAGAGTTGTGCTTCAATGTAGAGACAGTCCTTCCCATCTGGAGGCAAGAACACTGGACATTTATGGTCATGAGTGGAGAACATGTCTATCCAAAACTCACGATTGAAGCCAGTTAATTTATAGTATTTAGGGTTAGGAAGTGGTGAAGTTCTTGTATGACCAATGAACTCATTTTCAACGCCTTTGGCTATATTAGAGTAAAGTATTGCTTGCTTTCTATCCCAAATGCCAGGTGTTACAATCTTTGAAAATTCATTTTTCCTCGGAAGCATTGCATCATAATTGAAAACATTCTTAAAATCATCACTTGGTTCGGAGATTTGAAATCTTATACGTAATGGATTTTCTTTCTTTTAGCGACTTCATTGAATGGTGAGAATACAATGAATTGACAGTCATGTGTTCCATCTTCATTTTCATTAAATTCATAATGAAAGTCTATAAGTTGTGGCTGACTACCTTCTTCCTTCAGTTGTGCAAGAAACTCACGTAAAGGCTGTAAAGTTTGTACTTCAATATTGAACTTTTTCTCGAACATCTCATTAAATGAAATCATACATTGCAACAATGTTGTATCGTCTTTAAAGTATTTGTATATGTGAATGTTTTGGGCGCTTAAAGACTGTTCGTCATTTTCTATCTCGACTTGAAGTATAAAGTCAACCTTTCTGAAAGCACGTGTTATATACATAGATGTTATGCCAATGTACTTCTCTTCATTTATGTTCACAATCCAGTCTGTTGGAAACTTAAACGTTACTCTGTTCCCCTTTATTTTGACGTCAGGGTTTTCACTACTGAACGCAACAGATAAAGGTATTTGTCTATACATTTAGTTTGGATAAAATAAACCATTTACTCTTTCTTTGCTTCAGCTTCTTTAGCTTTTTGTTCTTCCTTTGCTTTTGCTTCTTCTCTAGCTTTCTTCGCCAGCAAACGTGGGTTCTTTGTCTTCCAGCAGCTAATGCAGCAAGTTGTTTTTCACTAAGTTTTCTCTTTGGTCTCTCTGGCTTTTGTTCTTGTTTTTGTTCCTTCAGTTCGGATAAAATTTGCTCGCGAATTTCTTTCTTCAATGCTTCAACATCTATGACCCCTTGGGTCTTGTCCGTAGGATTTGACTGAGTCATTTGACTGTAGATAAAAAACTAAATTAAAACTTTAACCGATGTAAAATGAGCTTGTCAAAATCAGAACGAGAGTCTATTATATTAAATGACGCCAGAGGAATACAACATCCTTTCTATTATGTAAGTCAGAGTAAAGATGGTAAAATATATGTAAGAAAAAGAAAGGTACCATTAGCGAATGCAGAGAGCGACAACATTAAGGTGCATGGCAAGGGTGAAGTCCACGAAGCCCATGTTAAGCCTTCTATTCAAACTGAAAAGTCAATAGAACCAGAAGAAAAGAAGCCAGATGTTCTTTCAATAACGAACCAAGAGCTTATTGCAAAGTTCGTGAATTTCATTGAAAAACAAACCGAGTCAAAGAACCCTGACCCCCAGTGAAAGAAGTTGAGACAAAAGAGAATGTACAGTTCATTGAAAATGTCAAGAAACAACTTCCACCACGAATGCCAAGAAGAAGAGTGAGAATAATGAAGTAAATAGATATTTTTATCCGAAGTAAATACATGCAGAACGAACAGTTAAACGAATTTACTCCAGCAGAGCATATTCATCAGATTCGCTCATATTTCGATATCATAGACAATGCAGTTCAAATTGGTGACACTAATAGAAAATATTCTGACGCAAAGATTCCATCACAACCTGGAACTGCTAAAGATAACACATGGGTAACATTCAATCTCTCACCTCCTGGTGAAAATATGTTGGACCTTTACAATACATTCATTACGTATAAAATGGAAGGTCAATTTATTGTAGATAAAGAAATTGGTTCAGGTTCCAATAAAACAAACCCACCAGGATTTTGGATTGGTTTCGATGACGCTTTCTATGCAGTTGCTGGATATCAAATCCTTGCAAATGGTCGTATCGTATATTCTCAAGACAACGCAAGAGAAGAAGCATATATAACTTCAAACTCACAAACTACCGAACAAATAAAGAAAGTAGATGTTTTTTCAAAGACTCGACATGAAGATGTATGGAGTCATTCGGGAACATGCAGAACAGGACAAATTGTTAGTGGTCCAATTACAGCAGGAAAATCATTTGATTTTAAGCTTCGTTTAAGAATTCCTGTTAGAAGATTCCTTCCATTAGAAGCTATTCGATTTATTCCAGCTTTTGCAGGAAACATTCAGCTTAAAGTAAAGTTCAGTAGCGACGCCTTACAATGCACATCTATATCTGTAAATGATATCATTGCTTTCAATCCAACTCTTAAAGTTGCATTTGCTTCAGATTCAAATCCACCGACAAATAAATTTGTTCCATGGAATGAACCATTCACTATGATAACGAAGGCAGTAGAAGCTAGTGGAACAGTTACTATTACAACTGTAAACCAGCAACTATTTCGAACAAAGATGGATTTTAATGAATGTTTCATTCATCCAAAGTCATTCTCTTTAGACCCTAACATTTATACAGAACTTGTAGAACATTATACAAACGAGGCTTTATGTTTTCCTGTTAAAGTTATGGATTGGATTCCTATGGACGGTTCATTCTCAAAGAATACAGATAGTTCAAGTGCAACATTTACAGCAGCTTATACGCCTATTAATGTTAAAAGTATTTGGGCACTATTTAGAAAGAAAGACAACTATTATGTTAATTTTGAGAACCCTAAGTTTAAATATCTTCAGCTTTCCATGGGAGCTTATGGAAATATGCCTGCAGAACCTGAAAATCATATGGACCTGTATTTTATGAAATGGTTGCGAACGCCTGCAATACAAACAATGATATGATAGGATTTAATGAAGATGTTATGAGGTCATTGGTGGATGATGGTAGTGTGGAACATAAATGGGATAGCTATGACAACACACATTTCTTATGTGGTTTTCCAACAGAAGTGGACTTTTGCTTCCAGCAAGGTCAAACATCTACTGCTCCAATAACATACAAATTGTCTGTTAAAGGACCTATTGAACTAGCAACTGAAAATGTACCAAAGCCACTTATTGGATTTATGAGGGATTGTTGCTTTGCAATACAAGTAAGACAGTCAGGCATACCAATAATAAGACTTGACGACTATAACTTAGCCACGGACGACAGTGAGGAATAAAGGATGAACGTTTATTTTTAAAGCTTATAAATGAGTTCTTCATCAAGCTCTCGTGAACCTTCACCATCTATGAAACAAACTTTACCAAACGATTATGGAGCACCTATTGAATATTTCTTACGAGCTGCACAATGGCAAAGAGCAGTCTCACCAAGGTTAGGTGTTCCACCAGCTCCTGTCAAAAATAGCATTTGGTCAAGTCCTTATATAAGATATGGTCTCCCACTAGGTTTGCTAGCTACAGCAGGAGCAGTTATGATGTTGAAAAGAAATAAAGCAAATGTTATAAATAATACTGAAGTAGCTGAATTTGAACAAACTCCGACACCATCACAAACAACACCTTCAATGACTCCTGAACCTATGAAAGTACAAACTCCTGTTCAAAAGTCAACTCCTAAACCGACTCCAACATTTAAACCAGAACCTACTCCTCAAATAAATCGTAAAACTCCTGCGTTTCCTTACTGAAAAAATAACGTTATTTTTATTTTATTTGAACATTTTTATTTGATTGAAATGACGACTAAAGTCACTGAAGCAATGAAACAAAAATTTTTGGTAGAATACATTAAATCAGGAGCGGTTCCAGAAGGTTTTTACGTTCATACTATGAAGGATGGTAGAGTTCAGTTTAGAAAGATAAAGCAACCATTAGATAAAGAAGGAATTTTGAGAAAGATTAAACTTCATGAGGACAACATTGCTGAACTTAAGAAGAAGTTAGAAGAGTTGGAGAAAGGAAGAGAGTTATAAAGCAATGAATTCATGAGGTGAAAAAAGAGGTGAAAAAAGAGGTGAGATTTCACCACTTCACCTAAATTTATTTTTGCGCTATGTTTTCATACGTGTGAGGGTGGTGATATCATTAATTTTAAGTTTATTTTTTAAATAATTTTTTATTTTATTTTGGATGTAAATGACAGAACAAAAGCAACTCATTCGAATTCCACAGTATAACAAACATACATTTAAACATTTATTCTTCCTTCCTGAGCATAACATGTTCTTTCAAATACATCCGAGACCAGTTGACTTTTCATTGACTGTGTATAAAGATAGAAATAGTTATATCATTAAACCATACGATGACGAAGGTAAGTTATGTAAATTGTACGTTAAGAAGTTAGAGAAAGTTTATGGCTTCAAGTATGACTACAATAGGGTTAACACTGATGATGAAGATATTGAGGAAAATTTATGAGAACATTAGTGAAGTCGTTAGTGAGAACGATAGTGAGAACGTTTATTTTTACATTAGTGAGTTCGTTAGTGAAGTGAAGTGGGTGGCGGTTTTGTAAATATTTAAGGTTAAGTTAGTTTTTGCGTTCATGTTGTAAAATATACGTTAACGGTTTTGTAAAGTGTCAAATTCACAAGTATTGGGTAATGTGGAACGCAGTGCCACCATACACGACTTAACCATACTAACTTCGTGTAGATATTTATAATATATACATGATAACAAACATTCCCCGCTAAAAGATGTAAAATCTTATAAGAAATAATTGCAAAAGAATAACAAATTGCAACAAATTTTATATGAAACTGAACCTTATGAGGTAGTGATTCAAGATCACCGCCTCATAAGATTCAGTTTCAATCTCAAGTATCTCAAAAGTAAGGCTCTATTTTTTGCCATGTAAAGTATCACTTTACTGTCAAGCCGTTTTTATCGTTTTCGTTTACAACAAAATTGTCAACCATTTCCTCGTTCGTACTATTTCGTTACAGAATGAAGACAACGAAAAAGATGGAGTCATTCCAGGTGACCGTGTAAGAGTCATTTTCCAACGCAAAAGTGGACAAGAAATTGTATTCGAAGAATTGGTTTGCATATTCTTTAGCAATGGTCAAGACTACTGGGAAGGAAACTTGGTATTAGTCCCCGGTGAAACCATTTCTGTTTCATCGGATTTGAACCATCCATACAAGATATGGTTCAATTACGTTGCATATAACGCAGAAGACCCGAACTTTGACTCAGAATAAAAACTTCATTTATACTAAACATCTTCGGGGCTAGAGGGCACGAAGTGCCTGGAAGCCCCACTACCTTTTTTTTTTAAAATATATTCGGTTAATGATATTATCTTATAATTTGTAAATAAATCTAGTAATAAAATAACTTTAATAGTTGGTGTCACTTTTTCGAAAATTCTGGTTTTTTCGGTTCGGTCCTCCTCTTGGGTCTTGGGCAAAATTTATCATGGGCTAGAAGGGGCGCAGCCCCTGGAAGCCCCACTACCTTTTTTTTGATATTTTGAAATTTAAATTATTTATCAAAATTAAAATTTAACTAGGGTTGTTAGATTCCCGACGATAGGTGTCTTGGAAGATTTGCCTGGTGTCATCATAGTGTCTTTAAATCAAAAATTTTATTTTGGAGTTAGTTTTATTGATTTTTCAATAAAAAACATTTCTAAAACAAGAAAATAAAACGATAAAATATTTATATTTTATATAAGGATCTTATATATTTAAAATAAATATCATTTTATTTTTTTCATTGGTGTCTGTCAAACCATAATACACTATTCAAAAATTCAATGTGTCTTGCGGTTTCAAAAGACACCTTCAAATTGAACGATAGCACAGACACTATTGAATTTTACCCATTGTATTTAGTTTTTACCCTTTTTATTTTTAAGAATTAATGACTGAAACAGCCGTTTTGCTATGACCTCAATCACTTTTATTTATTATTTTAAATATTATTTAATTTTATTATTTGAATAGGCCAACTTATATTTGAGAAGCTCAATTTGAGACCACTTAATACATTGAAATATCATAAATATTGAAATATTAAAAAGTGTATTTCAAAATATTGAAATTATAAAAATTTATAATACTGAAATTGAGACAAATTAATAAATTCAATGTGTTTTTTTTTTGAAATAACTCTCAAATATTATTTTTTTGTTTATTTAATGATGAATAAATATGATTGCTTTAGTCAATCATAAAAACTAATTTAAGTTTAAAATAATGAAAGGATAATTTGATCGTTTTTTAAAATACAATTATTTTTGATGATTTGCAAGAATCTTTGAAAAGAATATAATATAGGTTCTATTTTTGTAAAATTTATCCAAATCATGTATTACATAAATTACGATTAAAACGATGAAAGAACCAAAAAGTGTGTTTTGTGTTTTGTTGTTGCGTGTTGGATGCGGGATCCTGTTATTTCCGAAATTGACAAAAAATTTGGAAATTTAATTTCCGAAATCGAAATTATATTAATGTTTTTAATATTCTTATATCAAAAGGATTAAAGTTCATTAAGAGAAAAACAATTCTTCTTCTTCAATCTATTGGCGCATTTATTTCTACACGCCAATAAGGAAGGGAAAATTATAAGACACCATGGTGTCTTCAAAACGCTAATTTTTGATATTTTTAACAACCCTAAATTTAACTTGAAATTTATAATTATTTAGTCATATTTTGCATAATTCTAAGTAGATTTTGTAAAAAATCAAGAAAGAAAAATTTTAAGGGTGGCTTCCGACCAAATTGTCACTTTTTAGCCCAAGTGAGAAAATTTCGTAATTTATAACCAAGTTTTTTAAAATCTATATTTAATAAAGATTCTATTTTTCTTATTAAATTTCAAAAATGAGGGGGTTCGGAATCGTCCACAAATTGCCGAAAGGGTTTTTGCCAGTTTTGAATCCGCTTATTTTTATCGACCAAAATTATAATAAATATAATTTTCGATAAGTATTCTACCCAAATGATTCTTCAAAAAATTATTTTTCGGATTTTATTCCGTAAAAAAACGTTACAGAAAACGCCTATAAAATTTCGAATTTTCCCTAAAAAATTCAGTGCAGGTCGATTTAAGAGATTTTTCAAAAATAATCATATCAGTAGATAGGGTATAATATAGAGAAGCTTTATGAATAACTTAAAATCCGGGAAACTCAATATTCAACGAGAAAAACGCTTAACGAATCTCACTTTTGGTGTAAACATCACAAAAAATTGAGAGGGCTTTCTGGTCGGAAGCCTCCCTTAACGTGCTTTATTTTTTCTTTTTTATAATAATACATATTATTATATAATTAACATATTCATAATGTTTCACCCTTTCAAAAATATCCTCCTCCTCCTCTCAAATAAACGTACATACGGGTGGCCTCTTTTTTCAAAAAATTAAAATTTGAAATTTTGGGCTCAAATATTAGAGATTTTTTCAACCTTCAACGATATATGTTGTCTATATCAGACCTCCTTTCTTTTTGATACTTAACATTGTTCCTAAATCTTAGCCGTTAAGGCTGTTCTGAAAGTATTTTTTTTTTCGAAAAAATTCGAAAAAAATTTTTAAAATTCAAAAATCCCTTAATTCCTGAGGATTTTGGGAAAAAGTTTTTACATGAACATGTGTATATTATATGAAGTATATTGATAAGGTAAAAATCAAATTTTATTGCATATTCATCGAGAAAATAAACTAACGAATCCCTCAAAATTGAGAGGGTAATCCTCCTCCTCTCAAATAAACGTACATACGGGTGCACCCTTAAGTATATCAATAATGTTTTCTTAGTTTACATATTATTGATATTTGTATCATGCTGAAATGTGAGATCAATTCGATTGTATCATCGCTTATCTTGATGTGGTAAATTTTTGTCATTTCAACTATAAATGGAATAATTATAGGTTCAAAACGAACAGTGTAAATGTCGTCGAACATTTCAATGCATACGAATTTGAAATCAATATGTGTATCTTCTACAAGGTACTGATCAATGTATGATTTAAATTTTTAGAAAATTATCTCTGTTTTAGTTTAATAAAATAATATTGCGCGGTGAATTTGTATCTCAAAATTATGTAACTGTATCGGTAACAACTTCAAATGTCTTATTGACAAGATTTGTAAAAAAAATCAAAAATATACTTGAGATCATATAAATGTGCTCTTCTCTTTATAACGTAAGAATTGATCAAAGATAACATGTGTACTACTGATTGATTTTGGAGGATTGCTATGATTAGAGACGATTTGATTAAATAATTCAATGAAAAATGGACTATTTGATTCATCAATTAGGAGATTCGATTGTTTGTATTCGATTGCACTGCATTTGGTGAATTAGTTGTATCGTAAATCAAGGAAAGTTTAATCATTTGGCTGCTGTGATACTCTTAAAAAATTAAAAGAACGAATTTTTTTTCTAAATACAATTAATGGCATCAGATGATTAGATTACTTTTTTAGAAATCATCAATCAAATTTGGCATATTTTTGAAAGAATATCTAAAGACAAGACACCCAATAAGAGTTTTTGTGCATACGGTTCTCGGGCGCCTATGTCACATTCACAAAGGACTCCGTCTTTATTAGCAAACTCAGAAGAAATGTTTAACTAAAAGAAAAATTATTTCATCAAGACTAATAAATGTTTTAAAAAAGCAAATCACATCATTAACATATCAGTTTTAATTACAAAACTCAACGATACATAACAAATTTCTTCGAAATTTAAATTCTCATTAAAAAATTCTTTTGATACAAATTAAATAGCTACATATTCGATTTTCCCATTGATACGAACTTATTGTTTTCATTCAAGATTTACAAGAAATCAAATACTTATTTCACAACAACAAATATCTATTTTTACTCAAACACGAGCATGTATTTACTAATAAATTCATGTTTTTACATCATTACATTTGACAATACTATCAAAACAACCCCAAAATCAAACTAATTTTCGATATTCTTTATTCAGACCAGAGAATTCATATAAATCATCGATTACTCAAATTTAAGTATTCATTTAATGTAATAATTGTTAGATATTAGGCGTTTTATATAAAGATTCTCCCTATTTCAAATTTTCAAGCGAATTAAGTCGATATTTCATACATTTTATAATATACAAATCATGTGTAAGTACAATAGCTTTAATTATTTACAATATTGATCATTTTATTACGAAATCCAAAAATTTAATCAGCAAAATCGATGTTTTTATATAAGATTAGAATGATTTACATCATTGTTTCCATGCACTAGCTGTTAAAATGCTGATGACAGCTAAAAGAATCGCAATTTCATAACTTGAATATAAGATTCAAATGAATCGGCATTATTTGACATTTACATCATTGAAATGTCAAATAATGCCGATTCATTTTTTTGATGAAAACAATGAAATTCAATCACGATTTTCAGATAACAGTATCAAAACACACATCAACTATGAATAATTTACACTTTGATCAATCACCTGATGATGTTTGGGAACTCTTTTACAATACATCACATAATTCAAAACCTATTAATGGCACAAATGTTAATGCAACATCAACAAATAATGAATGCTTCTTATATAACTGTATATTCATCACCATTACAACTAATAGTGCCATTTATTTTACGAATACAAGCAATAAATTTCTTAACTCATATTGTTCATTTACTAACTGCAGCAGTAATACAAATGGTGGATCTATCTACTTTAACTGTAATAGTTCCATTGTCCAATACCGAACATGTGGCTACAAATCAAAAACAAACTCCTATGGACATCATTCATATGTTTCCTTAGTTTCTAAATCAAATAATAAAAATTATCTTTATGAAAGTTCTTTTTATGAATGCGGAAATTTAGAAAAATCTTATACAAACCATCTTTATTATGGAAATATTGAAGTTAAATCAATCAACACAAGTTTCTGTGAAGCAAACTATGACTCAGGAATATATCTATGGTATCCAACAAGTCTAAGTAATGTAACATATTCATCATTTTGTAACACAACATCATATTATAGAATTTTAAATTTAATTTATGGTAACTATAATTTTAATTTTTGTAATGTTTTGAATAATGAACTCAAAAAATCTGATTATGGAACTACATTCTATGCAGGTAAATCAACTGTTCTTATTGAAAACTGTTCATTTCTTGGAAACACAGGACCAGGAAAAGAATTTTATCAAGATTATTCTGGTTCAATTACAGTTAAAGATTCTTTCTGTGACAGAATAATAGGTAAAACATATCAATCAGTTATAACAAATAATGTTCAAAATATATATTCTATTCATCATCTTTCTCACTTTTCATCATATCTGTGTGAAGCAGAGTTTCCTATTTTAGATTTAGTGATAAAGAAGAATATTATCACATATGATGAAATTGTTTATCATTATTCATATCATATCATTACTTCTCTTTGTATTGTTTTAGTAAATAAATAAAATGCATATTGTTCTTCCTATATCTCGATTTTTTGTTGCTGGTTTCAAGTAGAAATAATGGCTAAATGACTTGTTATGTAGAAATATTTATTATTTATTAAATTTATTCTTAGTACTTTAAGTCAGAGACACCGACGAACTAAAGAATTTACAAGATGGTCGGAACTCCTTCAAGAGGAATTGGGCAGAACAAGTTGAGAATACTGATGTGTCGCTTAGCCTCCTGTGTGACTTCATAGGTGAGCGAATCACCAATATCCTTATGATAATATGGAATCGTGGACCCAGAGAGTTAAGCGCGGTCGTAGATAGAAAGAACTGGAAGTTCGTAAAACAATGAAGAGTTGAATAACATTTCAGCATTCCATTGGTATGGGAAGATGTTCTTCTCTCCACCAACTTGGACAGATTTGCATCAGTGGATTGTTGTTCGAGCAGAAAAGCAGCCGTACTTGTGATCAATGATGATGCGGACGATGATACGAAGACCTGATGTTAGGAAGAGGTGGCCGTTGTCGATAACAAGTGGAACAGCATAGATTGGAGTAACACATGAAAGCTTGCGCTGATTAAGAACTTTGCAAACCCTTCGTTAAGCATTGGATCTGTATCGACTCCTATAAGTTTGCTATTATGCGAGAGGGCATGCTGTATTATGAATAAAAACGCATGTGCATTATTACAATATGTTCTAGCATGATTATTAAAAATATATTGAATAGATTATTAGCTAAAAACTTAAAATTAGAAGGAAATGTGCAATTAATGAGCTATGAAATCCATATAAAGATATTACTTAATTAAAAATTCATTAGAAAATAAGAAGAGATTGAAATATTTTAATTTCAAAAAATTATTACAGAAAAATGATGGTTTATTAGAGCAAACATTAAATATTGTATCAGTAACAATGATTTCGAGAGAAAATTATTCAAAATTTAGCAAGGATTATAACAATTATCTTCGCTTGTAGAGTAGATTTCACCATTAAAGTTTGCTGTTTCAACTGCTTTCTTAACTTCTTCTGCGGAGTATATGTGTGAGAAATGTTGAATAATTTGTTCTTCTGGAGTTCCGCGATCTGAATTGTTCTCTTTGAGGAATTCAATGACATCGTTCTTAATCTTTTCATCTCTGTCTTCGCTTGATCGCATTGGAGGAGGTGCTGGAGCGGATGTTTCAACATGCTTTGGTGCTTGAGCGAAAGAGGAGTCTGGGGGTGTTCCTCTTGTTGTCTGTAAGTGTACGAACAATGAGTAAAGCATATGATAAGGAATTTGATCGAATTCTGTTATGGGTTTGATTGTGAATGAAGATATTCCATCTTCAATAGCAGGTGTAATTCGTCCAACAACAAAAACGTATGTTCCATCTGGAATTGGCTCCGGATTATCATCTGAAATGAAATTCTTAACTTTGATACTGCCTGTACAATCATTCACCAAGTAATCAATACTGATTGTGCTATCTTCATGGCTAATAATCTTTCATACGATGGATACTTGTTTCCTTGATTTAACCTTGAACAAGATGTTTAAGTATATCTGCAGAAATGTATGATTATAAAAAGTTGTGTTAGTTAGTATACAAGTGTTCGGCACTGTGGCACTGCGTTTTCACTTTATCCAATACTTGTGAATTTGACACTTTACAAAACCGGTAACGTATATTTTACAACACAAACGACAACACTAATTTAACCTTAAATATTTACAAAGCCACCCACTTCACTTCACTAACGAGCTCACTAATGTAAAAATAAACGTTCTCACTATCGTTCTCACTAACGACTTCACTAATGTTCTCATAAATTTTCCTCAATATCTTCATCATCAGTGTTAACCCTATTGTAGTCATACTTGAAGCCATAAACTTTCTCTAACTTCTTAACGTACAATTTACATAACTTACCTTCGTCATCGTATGGTTTAATGATATAACTATTTCTATCTTTATACACAGTCAATGAAAAGTCAACTGGTCTCGGATGTATTTGAAAGAACATGTTATGCTCAGGAAGGAAGAATAAATGTTTAAATGTATGTTTGTTATACTGTGGAATTCGAATGAGTTGCTTTTGTTCTGTCATTTACATCCAAATAAAAATTTTCAGTAAATAAAAAATAAACTTAAAATTAATGATATCACCACCCTCACACGTATGAAAACATAGCCCAAAAATAAATTTAGGTGAAGTGGTGAGATGTCACCTCTTTTTTCACCTGTTTTTTCACCCGTTGAATTCATTGCTTTATAACTCTCTTCCTTGGTTTCTTTTTAGTTGCTTTCTTCACGTCTGTCTCCAGCTTAACTGTCTTTCTTCTTCGTCCGTAATGATACCAGTTACTTCCACCAGTCAATGGGTCAAATGGTCTTTCGTAAGGATTTCCATACATTCCATAGGGACCATACGGAAGAACTACTGGTGGAGGAAGAGTTCCATCGACTCTATTTAAATGCATTGTTTCACCTTTCATCTGGTCATTAAAGTCTTTTGCGTGTTTTGCAAACTCATCGTCCTTTCCTAAAGCATTTTCTGACTCAGTCGCAACCAAATTGGATGCTTTATTTATGAGCCCTATTTTATTTAATCTTAACTTCTTTGCAACCCAGCCTCCAATCTTCCCTTTATTTGCATCTAATGTCTTCGAAACCCTTCCTCCACTCATTTTATTTACTGCGTCATAAGCCCCAAGTGCTTTTGCTCCAAATGCTAATGCTTTTGTTCCCATTGCGCCTAAAGCTGCCCAAGCTACCATTTACACCATATTAAAATCATCTCTCTTCAATATTATCTCATAAAAGTTCTCGTTACTGGAGAAAGTCAATGAAACATAAACATTCTCACGGGCTTCGCCCTCACCGCTTTGCGGTCTATCTAACTTATTTCTATATCATCTATACGCTTCAAAATGTCTGAACAATTGCTAACATCTTCTACAACAGTTATTTCATCATGAATGACCTTCAAGAACAAGCTCATTTAATATGCATTAAAATCATCTCAATAATGAGTCCATCCTTTCCATCTTTAGGTAGCACAACATCTTTCATTGAAGAAGGTTCGACAAGTCTTATGTTAAACTTACTGACAAAGTTTGTTATACTATAATGCTTCGGTGGCGAATACATGTAGTTTGAAAGACATAATATAGATTCTTCAGCAAATTCACTTATACTGGATTTTATAACAATGTTCTCACGAGACCAAATACCACCAATTGACAATCTTGTAAGCAATCCTGCTGAACCTTCTACTGTAAACGTCGATGGTAACATTCCACGAAGGTCATCTATTGACATCGTTGAGTCACTGAATTTAAATATTTTCTTAAAGCAATCGTCATTATCTAACCATGCAATAGCTTTGAAGTTTTCATTCGAATATACATCTGCTTCATTAAATGTAAAACCTGACTTCTTTGCAGAGACGACTTTAAAATCTATTGCATTTGTTTCAAAATTATATACTATGGTAACTTCTGAAGGTAATGGATGTCCTTCCGCAGTCAGTTGTTCTCTCACTACCGTTTGAAGCTTTGTATTAAAAACTTTCATGTCATCTCCTGTGTCTAGGTTCACATACACAGCAATAGGAAAACTATCTTGCTTCTTTTTTCATCATTATATCTCAAAACATTAAAGTTCTTCAATAATATTGTTCTTCCTGCTGGAATACTTCGAACCTGTCTGATTTCAATAGCTTTCTCACCTCCTACATACTCTACCCAGTGTCTTGGATATTCATAAGTATACTGACTTTCTTGAATTTTGGTTGGTTTCATCATAACGTGTTCATAGTATATCTTTATACTCTTGTCAGTTAGACTCGGTGCTATGTTCTGAATATTTCTGACTTGCATTTTTAATGGAGATAAAATGAAGCATTTAATACATGACGTAGATGAAGACATGAATGAAACTACAGACAAACTTAACTCTTCTCTCATTCTTCCTTTCAGTAAGATTATGAGTTCTGTTCAAATGGGTTTATTTCTATTGTGGAAAGATGGGTTCAGGTAAGACATTTAACCTCATTCGTCATATACTCATAACAGAGCGTTTAGGAAACGACTCATATTATGACCAAATCATTATATCAGCAACTTCAGACTCTATGGACTCAACAGCGAAAACATTTATGTAAAGTTCAAGCCTCTGTCGTTAAAGTTCCAGACAGTGAACTCATTGAATTTCTTCAACGTTACATTCGACGTAAGAGGAAATATTATGCCATCGTTGAATTTATACAGTCAGGAATGCAAAAGACTTCTGAGGAGATGGAAAGAATTATTGACAAACACCACTTACGTCAGTACTCAGGAGTTTACGATATGAAACGACTTACAAACTACATTCTGTCAAAACTTTCAAAATACCCCTTCAAAAAGTATCCTTCAAACACTCTGCTCGTTTGCGACGACTTCGCCGGAAAAGGTTTAGTGTCAAAGCCTGACTCACCATTAGCTAACATCATACTAAAGTCAGACATTACCACTTAACTGTAGCAATACTTATGCAAACATGGCGTTTCTTGCTTTAAACATAAAACGTCTCATAACTGACTTCGTTATCTTTCAAGGTTTCTCACGTTATGATATTGAACTCATTTGGAAACAGTCAGGTATAACATTACCTTTTGAAGAAATTTGGGAAGCATATAAGTCTCTCATCTCTCCTCGTTCATACCTTGAGATTCATATCATGACTAATACCATTAAAGTCAAAAATATTCCATGGGAACGACCAACATTGTTTTAAAGTTTAACCTTCAATTGACTGATGGTAAACAAATTCCATGCATCTCTGTCGCCATTTCTGTTAATATTTTTGCTGTCATTCATATCATCCACTTCCCCATCCGTTAGCTTTTGAGGATATGCGTTAGAATAGCTGTTCTTAAATGAAGGCTTTTCACCTTTGAGAGCATAAACTCTATAACTTTCTGCATACTTTATGTTTGAACCTCCTGAGCCATCATTGACATAAATTTTTATAGGCTTCCACCCTTTGTTCATGTTCCTGCTTCTTCCCTTAGCTCTTTTGTTCAGTAGTTCTACATCTTTATACACAGCTCCTGTCTCAGTGAATTCAACAATATTTTCATTCGTTAGCTTTACATTCAAACCCTTGTCGAGTATATTGTTCATTTCATACATATAAAAGGTTTTTATTCTATATGAAATGAGAAGCAAATCCATCTTAGCTGGTGCCGTTAATGTTCCAATTGAACCAACATCAAATGTTGACTCACGAACGACAAACAATATTGTCATAAAGAACTATAGTTCAGAGTGTTTGAAAGAAAAAGAACCAGAACTGAAATCCGTGAATTTAAACTCAGCTTCAAACGCTAACGCTACATCAGATGTTAAGTTAGAGTATCCACCACTGGACCAAATTCTTTCAAGAGAAGCCAACGACAACCCTTACACAAACATTCAAACGAATCCTTCAGATAACGTAGACCATTACCTTCTTCAGTTATACCAAACTATTTTACTCAAAGACGATAAGAAGCTTTTGACAAATCTTATAAGCAAGAACCAAATAATTCTAACAAAGGAGGACCTTGAAAATGTTATCTCACGAATAACAGGGAAACAATGTGTCATTGACTATCTCGACCCTGAAATCGAATGCTGTGGTCAAACGCCACCATTCATGAAAATAGGTAACATCCGCATCATTGAAACACCAGGAACTACAGGAGTTGAGTTTAAGTATAAATATTCGAACGAGTATACAAAACTTTCAACAGAATATAAACTTTGTTTGAAATATGTTTTAGTAAATTAAAGCAATTTGTAATATCTATCCAAAACTTCTTCAACAGTATCGAACTCATCTTCATAATGCAAACCTAATCTTATTGACTTGGTGCAGTTTTCACTAACACAATATAGCGCTTTGCGCTCGGCGCCTTTGACGCCTTTTTCTGTTCTCTTGACTGACATAACTAACTCATTTGTTTCATCAAACAGCAACAACCAAAGTTCATGACCTAATACATAACATTCATACTTTATATTTTTAGCTCTGAGTTCTCTTGTAAGCTGTTGCATTTAATATTTTCTAAAAAGTCAACTTCAACAGTCATTCGCACTGGTGCCTTCAGTTCTACAGGCTCGCCTTGAAAGTCAACAAGTCTGAATTGCATGTCTTTCAAATTATGAGGACTAATGCGAACCCATTTACCTAAATGAGTTGCTATGACAGGAACGTTTGGAATGAACATTGAATTGACTGCATAACAGAAGATTTA